AAAAAAAAAAAAAAAAAAACCTTAGAAAAGGAGCAGATCAATAGTCCTTTCCTGTTTCTGCTTAATTAAAAAACAAATTAAGCCCGTCTCTGTCCTTCTAACACCATCTTTTCACAACCAGAACTAATGTGATATCATATTACATCTGCCTAAATGAAACCATATATCTGTCTTTTCTTCCACCTATCAGTCAGGTGGAATGTGTAGTTCATGTTTATTAACTAAGATTTTTCCCTGCAGAGATAACCAGTGAGCTTGTAAGAACCCCTTGGAGGGTTGGAGCACGGTTAATGGTGAAGTCACTCACTTGGAAAAACTTCCAACTTGATTTCTTAAATGCCCTCTCTTCCAGCAGAACTTTCCATTCCCTCTGGTAACCCCTTACTAGGAGAAGGTAAAGTGGATAATCTCTTACCCTTTCCCAGAAGAGCGCCCTGCTCCTACTTGCCTATAATAACATTTTAGTATTGAGTTTAATCTTGCTCACAAATTACAAGCCTATAACCATTACCTCAAGAAGAACACCAGGAAAGGAGGCTACATTACTACCACGTTGCCATCCCCTACTATTCACAACTTTCTCCTCTCACCCAGGGCCCTTGCAAGAGAGGCCTCATTTATTCCTAAATTCCAGGAACCACAGGAGCTAAGAAAAGCTCCGTGGTGTGGCAGACAGCTCCAAATCTGGCGTTCACGAGAAAGGGAAATCAAATGGGGCCATCCATTAACAGAGTTAGTCAGAGTCCTTATGAAACCCTCTGTTTTTCAAAGGACTGGTGGGCCTTGCTCCCTCCTTGGTCCCACACCTCTCAGACTGCAGGCTGTTTGTATTCAGTCAACACTTCCATTTTATAGGCCTGTGGAGCCAAAGATTACAAGACTTTTGAACTCCAGGCTGCCTTCTGTCTGGCTGTAACGTCTGTTTTTGGAGCCCAAATCTTTTTTAACAACTCTACAAAAGCAAGCAATTAGGGTAAGATCTGTTAATCTTCTCTTCTAGAACTAGAGGTAATTACATATTCAAAACCCAACATCGGAAAGGTAGAAATACCACTACGAAAGCTTGTAGCTTTTCAGAGAAGGATCCAAATAAGCTTCAAGGACTAACCAGGCTTGAACCAGATCCCTGCAAAATATCCTGGGGTCCCTTCACAGGAAGCTAGGTACAGTGCTGCATGACAGTTAAGGAAAAGAAATACACAAATGAAGAATGAAAAGAAAAAATCAAGGAGACATGTTAAAAGGCTCAAAATGTACTAGAGATTTCATTGTCTGGTAACTAACTTTGTCTTCTTCCACTAGTAACTGTACATCTGGTTTCTCCATAAAAGGTACTAAATACTTATTTTTTTAAATTCACAATTAGTAGAGTTCAATCATTAAACATCAGTAATATGTTACCTAGGAATTTTTTTTATTATTTTTGGGCTTTTTTTCCATAATTTTATTGAGAGACAAATAGCAATGAGACAGTTTCAAATCAAATTGGTAGGACAGTTTCAATAATTAACACATTGTGTACTCTCTTCCTAGTGGTTATTTGGTGTACAAGATGCAGACATGATATCCTATTTACAAACACAATTAGAACAAATCCCTCTATTCAT